CAAAATTCTATAATATATTATTAAACTGAAAGATCAGTATCAAGCAGCAGAAAACAGAAAATTAGCATTAGCATGGGTGCCAAGTAACTTCTCAGTAATTAATAGTTGATTTTCATACTATCTAAGATTATTTGTACACCTCACCTCAAAGACAGGAAATAGAACATACTACCAAAGCACATTTATACTTCTTTCCCTCACCCCTGATTACTTTCCCACTATGAGTCATCGCCTACTTTGCATTTTATAAAGTATCAAAAAATAGGAGGATATGAAATATATCAAGTATACAATTTTATGTTGTTGAATATATCATAGCTCCATTAGAAAAGTAGTATTAACTATTTCTTGCAGATGGTCTTATTGTGGCAGTTATGATGGAGCTTATACTATCTACCACTAGGAAGATAATAATAGCAACCTCCCTTCCCCTTTTTTTAAGTGTTCCGTTAGGTTTATTTTGGTTATATTATTTCCGATCTTAGTAGATAAAGAAAAAAATTTAGAGGTGGGTATGTAAAGAGAAGTTTAACCATTCACAGTTTTTAAAAGTCATTGAGACTGAATTATTTTATCTTGATTTATGTTTCAGTTTGATAAAATATATAAATAAGAACTTCATTTTATGTTAGTACCCAAACAACCTTTCCTTGGACCATGAATATCTTGTTTACTAGGCAGGCAATGGATAATTTGGGCTATTTGCAGGTGGACTGGGGGTTTGCCTATGGATTTATATGTGAGATAAATCTTTCCACTTTTATGCTCACTTACAGGAAGTATAGAGAACCTTCCATTGTTTATCATAAGGATTGGATTCTTCCCTCAATACCCAGAATACCATTTGATTTTAATTATTAGTAGTTATAATTATAAATGCTTGCTACGTAGTATATAGTGTTTTACAGATAGTGTCAACCCTGTGACAACCCATGAGATATGTATTATTACCTCTGTATTACAGATGAGGAAAATGTATTAACAGATCGCTTTCTTTTCCTTAACCTTTTTATTAATTAATCTATGTTGCCTTGAACTTATTTTGTCTCTAAATTTAGTTCAATTTTTTTCAATATTGACTGTTTAATTTGTTTCGCAGAGATCGAAAATTGTGCAATTTGGGATTAAAAGGCTACTATGTTAAAGGCAATGACAGCAATGCAGGTAATACTGTATAAAACCATATAACGCTTTTTTGCTAAAATTAACCGTGATACTATACTAATTTCTTAGCATCAGATATTATAAATGGCAAGTAATCCTGTAGTCATAAACAGTCTTTATTGTTTACTATAACATGATTCCAAAATCCCTATCAAAGCAGATAATATCTTTACTATAGCTAGCTCCTGTATGGACTCGAGGTACCTCTTTTGCCCCGTGTACATTCCTTCCCGAGTTGTTGCCATTAGATAAAAGCAACCTGAAATTTGAAGCGCTGAAAAGTAGAGAACATATAGTTTCTTCAGTGAAATTTTATTGTTCTAAAAGATAAACTGAGGCACATTAAAATTTTTTTTTCAAGAGTTTACTTGAACATACATTGATTCAAATCAGGCAGCACCAAATCAGAGGTGGTTGGGGTGCCCTGCCAGCAGGAGTTATAGGAGGAGTTTTTATAGAGAAGATGCAGAAGCAAAACAAGGAAATTTTGATTGGCCATAGTTTGAGCCTTAATTAAGGCTAACTGGGAAAGCCTAGTTGGCTGTTTGTGATTGATTGTTAAGTTTCACTTTCTCAGTTTGTACATTGACTGTGGCTTAAGTTTCGAGTTGTTTGGGTAGGTTACTATGGCATTAGAGCCATCTCAATCTAATGGCCTCTTTATTTAAATACTTTAAAGACTTGTTTAGATAAATGATTCAAGACAAATTCCAAGTGCACATTCGTGGTCTTTTGCCTGAAGTAAAGAGGCCACAATCTGGGTTAAGTTTACCAAATGACAAATAGAGTTTGTTCTAAACTTTGAGCCTCACGTGGTTACCTGAAAACCATCTTAGTCTCTCTCACATTTCCCTACCAGGACCGCATTTGTCCTTTCCACACAGATCTTTTATGTTTCTTTAGACACAGGAAAAACTGCAGCATGAATTACAGGCTAAAACCAGCACAAGTAGTGTGTCAATTACCCTTGAAAATCCATTAACCGTTTTCTTCAGTTGCACACTAGATGAAATGTTTGGTTGGTGTTCCAGTGTTATGTAGTACAAATATGATTTCTTTAGACACTAGGCTTCCAGCAAACATAAGAAATGCATGCCATGAGAGAAGCATAAAACTTAGCTGATTCTTTTTCCTATTTTGCTCTCTCCTGAGCTTTCATTGAGGAATGGTGAATGGATCTCCCTATTTAGATAGGTATCTCTTTTCTCTCTTTCTTTTAGTAAAATTTGTGCACATAAGATTTCTTTTTTTTTTTTCAGTTTCCATTTTTGCTATGTAAGACTCACTGTTCTATTGCCTAAGATCATTTAGCTAGAGTGCTGCTCAGCCCTAATTGAGTCTGCTAATATATAATTATTTTATCTCACATTCAGACTGTTAATAGAGCACTTGAATGGCATTTGCCAATTAGTGGTATGGTCTACTTTTAGATAACCATATTAGAATGAAATAAAACTTGTTTTGTTATAATAAAACAGATTTTCTCTAAGACCTAGAATCAGGGCTCTTGAAAGCATATTCCAGTTCAGTGGATTTCAGACTTTTAATAGCAGAAGACTTTCATTAAATCAACTCTCCCATAAAGTCCCAGGGTGTAAATCCAGTTGTGATTGAAGCACCCATGAGGAACCTAAAGATGTTCCTCTCAACTGTCTTATTAAAAGCTCCTAAAAGAACTCACAAATCATCATTTTTAATTCACTGATCTAGTTCAGTTTTATTGCACATAAGGGATGTGAAAAGGGAAATATGTTTTATGGTTACTCCTCTGTGTTCCCTCTTATTCCCAGCACTGCAGATGTGCTCAGGAAGTTTAAGCTGAATGGGCAGCTGCATGGTGGTGGCAGGCAGAGCCAGACCAGACATTTTCTCGATTCTTAGTTGGCCGTGGTTGTACTAGTCCATATTACCATCAATTATTTTCTTTTTTTTCTTCCCCTTAAAAATTTTAACATTTATATGCCTTTACTTTTGGTAAGTCATGTAATAGCTCTGGGTCTCAGGTTCTTCATTAAAATGATAAAACTTGCATCTAAATTTTCTCTAAAAATAAGCTAACAAATGCTGTCTGTAGGAGACCAAACCCCAGAAGAGGAAGGGGGTCCTTCCCATGGCACTGCACAATCATGTGATAGCAAAGACATAGGCCTAGATGAAAGTAAACTTGATTCTGAGGCTGAACTCATGAGAAGTATGGGACTGCCACTTCAGTTTGGTGGGAAGTCTACACACAAGAATTTTGAGGTAAGTATTAATTTACTTTTATTATTTCTGTTTCTTAGTTTTCTTCATAAAATGTCACATAGAATTTTTTTATCCCAAATCTAATGCATTTGTGAATTAGAGGACCCCATCTCTCTTTCAATATACATATTTATAATTAACTAAAACTGGAAGTTGTGATATGTCCCCGTGTGATTTTTTTTTTTTTTTTCTCCTCTTGGAAACTTAGGAAGATTCCCTTGTTTGTGTAACTAAAGGCCCAGGTCAGAGAAGGGGGTGTAATTGAGGGTATTTTGTTTAATTTAATGTCAAAATAGATTTCGGTTTTACTTTCTCTTTCAGTTTATGAAGTGCATTTATATTCAACTATTTATCTTATACAGGTGACTATGAATACTAGAAATAAAGTTAAAATGAAAAAGAAAAAACATCAAAAGAAGTACTTAAATGAAATTATCAAAGAATCTTGGAGACAAGAATATGAAGATGACATTTTGTCTTCAGATGATCCATCTTCGATTGAACAGCATGAGAACACCAGAACGAATGAACTTCAAATCAAAAAAGACATTGAAACTGAAAACCTGCCTATTGAAAATACCTTAACTCCAAAGCTAGAAATTACAGAGAAATGGGAAAAGTACTGGAATGAATATGGTGTAGGACTATTATGGCAAAGCTGGCAAGAAAACCACCCAGATCAAACACTGTGTTCTGAACCGTGGAATGTTCCTGGTACAAAGGAAGAATGGGAACAACATTATAGTCAACTTTATTGGCATTACTTGGAACAATTTCAGTATTGGGATGCTCAAGGTTGGACTTTTGATGCCTCGCAAAGCTGCAATACAAATACTTGTGACTCTAAAACAGAAGTTGACAACGAGGAAGATGAAAACTGCATGAAAGCAGACTTACTATCTTTTCCGCCTTCATTAATTGGTAGCATAAGCTCTAGTTCAAGTGATAAAGATCATAATGAAATGCTGAATGGAATTAGTAACCTAAATCTGAATTCAGAGAAAGTAGAACAGAGCCAGTTAGATTCCTCTTTAAGTTCTGATGGACATCAGTGGCTCAGTGAAGTTGACAGCAAAAGAGAATGCCCTGCATCTGGCCAAGGTGAACCAAGTAATGGAGGAACCAAGGAAAGCAACGTGTCTGGAAACAGAGACACAAACCAACCAGCTCAGGGTAAGATTGAACAAGATTTATCCTACTAAGTAATCATTAACTAAAGGACTCTATTTAGCAAAATAAGTAACATCAATCCTTTATGGTAGAGTTAAATAACGCCAACTACATTTTATAGTATGAATGAAAAATGGAATTATTTAATCCTTATTTTTATATCACAAGTTGTTTATTACCCTTTTATATAAATAAAAAAAAATCTTTGCACAGAGTTCTCAAAAGTATTCCTTCCTTTTACTCCTTGGTGACCAATAAATTATAAGTTGGAAATCCCTTTAGAAATCTAATTTAGAGTGAGTTTGGAATGTCCAAGCTTCTCTAGAGCAAATGGAGGCATGTTAAAGAGTGATGGAGAGCAGACATTTGACATTAGGCAAATATGAGTAGGAATCATTTCTGGAATTCAGTTGAGACAAGCGAAGTCTTGCTCTGCAGGGAATCTCAACAGGGACTGATAATATTAACTTCTGACTTTTAGGGTTGATTTCAAGACTCTCATAAAATATTCAGTATAAGGAACTTGGTTGACTCCTGCCTGAGTGATTTAAAAAAATTTTGCCATACAGACTGATACTACTGTCAGAATTAAGGAAAGCCAGTGTTAAGAGAAGGTGGAATAGGGTGGCTAAGAATGCGCTTGCTAGGGAGAAGGGCACTACCAACTGATGGCACCAAGAAAACGGGAGAGGAGGAAATTTTTAGAACTTTAGGATTTTTCCTGAAGCGCACTAACATGCTACTTTGGCATCCTTGCCAGAAGTCTGATTCTTAGGCACTTCTCAGCCTTTTTCCTATATGAAGCAAACAGTCTTGGCCTTTTACTTAATACTTAGGTTTACTTTACTCATCTCAAGTCGCAGACCTTACTTCATCTAGTTGAGAGTTTCCTTTAGAGAGTTACTAACGAGCTCTGTCTACTTTTTTATTTCTCTTTTCTCAGTACTCTTATAATGGAGCTTAACTTCAGTATGATATTCTCATTCCTTTCTATTTTGCTGTTATTGTTATCATTTTTATGTGATTTTTTTATATTAGCCTTTTGATAATTCTTCAATATTCTCTTGATTACTTTCTGTACTTATTTAGACAATAAAACCAGAAATATGTATATTAGTCAGTGCATTGGCCCCTATTTATTTCTTTGTGTTAATATATTTAATAATCTTCCTACTTTTTTCTTTGTCAAACATAGTAAAAGCTCTGTCTTCTATTGCCTGTTTCCTAAGCTATGTGTATAAATTGATCATTGCTATTCTATTGCCTGTTCCCTTAATTATGTATATAATTGGCTATTTCTGTAATTAGCTCCAGCATGACTGCCATTAGGATCAATTTGAGAATTCTAGACTTTGATTTGTTTTATATTCTCCCTCGAGATCAAAACATAAAATATATAGTGCATTTCTCTCTATTTTTTCTACTGTTTGTGGTTGGATGCTCTCCTGAAATAGTCTGTTTCCACACAGTCAAAGCTTCCCACCATCTATATTATAGATACTTTTCCACTTCTAGTCCCATTCACCTACTTTTTCCAGTCTGAGAAAATATAGAACAAAGACAGACATGTACCTCAGTTGATGCTGCAACAGGTTAAAAATACTCTTTTTAAATGGTGGTGTTTATCTTTCTGTTACTTCTGTTATTCATTTGAGAGCTATATTAGAGACAAGTAAATGCATTTGCTTCTTTAAAAAGAAAAAATTTTAATTAGTGTTTTGCTGCCTTTAGAGTCATTTAGATGAAAATTCCATCAAAATGTGATAACAGCTATGACAAAGGTAACTTCGTGGATTAATATGTGTAGTTTTGGACAGCTATCAGGAATAAACAGTTTTAGTTCACTTTTTAAAGTAGTTACATCATAGAAACTTTTAAACTTTAATAGATATAGCTCCAATTTTTTATGCTCAAACTCTGCATGTAGATATAAGATTAGGTAGATGTGGTCTGGCAGTTTGTCTGATGCACATACAGTTAATTACAGGAAAGGCACCAAAGTATTTCAGTCGCCTTTGCAAATGGCAGAAGAGTCTTGAAACCAAGGGGGGAAATCCACTGTAATATCTCTGCCTCTAGATTCACAGGAATCTTCAAACACAATCAAAGAAAGAGCACACCCCACTGGTATTGATGGAGAAGAGAGTGAAGACGATCCACCTGAACGTAAGCCAAGCAAACTTAAGAGGAGGCAAGTTGCATGTTACTTTTCTCTCTAGAATATGTTAGCATAAGCACTCTATCCATGAGTGCTCGTTACATTACAACACTACTAATCCTGTGAGAAGAAACAAGGCATACTGGGAAGACCATGGGCTTTGGAGCATGGTCAAATCCCAGCTCTGTGTCTTACTCTGCCACGATTTTTTTAATCGGTAAAATGGAACCAGTGCCCTTTTTATGACATCATTGGGAAGACTGGAACTAGCCTATAATACATCTGACGCTTAGTAGCTACCAATGGATGATAGCTAGTAACTAGTAATATGTAAGTAGGTAGGGTCTCTCTTTCTCAAGGAAGTTCTGATTTTTTTTTTTTCCCAAATCTCTTTCTCAAGGAAGCTCTAAATTTTTTTTCAAAAGTCTGGATATATATTATCATAGAATTTTATTGATAAAATAAACATCAGGTATGTCACATCTAATGCTCTCATTCTATAAGTGGGAATGCTGAGACAGAGCAAGGATAAATCCCTTGCCCAGGGTTACATAGCAACAATGGCAGCTCTGTAGCCCAGTCCAACTTTCAGAGATAGCACTCTTTCTAGTATACCATTAATACATGTAATTAAACAATTAGAGAATAATGTAAGGTAGGATATAGTTAAATGCTAATGCAATAAAATACAAGAAAAGGATGGACATTACAGAATTTTGGATGTTAACTGGAAACATTTCATTTCAGTGGCAAAGTATGAGTGCTCCACATAAGACTTTTATGTTCTATACAGGTTCTAAAAAACAGTGAGCAAGCTTTAGAGGCTCAGCAACTAAGTACATAAAAGTATACCTCTGCTGGGTTCCTTCTGCATGGTAGACATTGCTAGTTAACTGCTCCATTAGTTCCCGCTAGTTCCCTGAGGCAGATAGTGGATGTACTTACATTCCTGGGACCCAGTACGTAAATGTTCAGTGAGTGTAATTAATTTGTCAAAATGAGCTCTCGCCACATTCGTTTACTTGTTACTGTCGCCCAGGAAGTAGGGAGCATTAGAAGTTATCCCCAATAGGTGGATGATCCTGGGTTACTTAATATCACTGTATCACAGCCGTATTCTTAATATTTTTTCTTTTGTAATGTTTTGGTTGGGTAAATACTTCTCAAATGTTTCCTTGTTTGTTTTTCTGGGAAAAAAAAAAATGAGATCTGTCTCTAGCAGATTAGTTTAAGACTACAGCTTTTACTGGTGTTTTTCCAAAAGAAAATGGAGAGATCGTATTTGTTCCATGTTCAGGAATAGAGATAATTACTTGACATGGTTTGAGATTAGAATGCTTATTGCTGTGTGCCAATCACTTCTAGGTACTTTGTCTCATTGGGAAAATCCTAAATAAAGTACTCTTCCTATCTTTCTGGATTTGTAAACTATGGTCGAATGTTGCGATGGGAAAGTTTGCATAGGTTGGTTTATATGTACTTTTGGTATTTGCCTGAACTGGTGGGCTCTGGAGGTAATGCGTCATCACTGTTTACCTTTTTGTTTTTTTTGTTTAGCCATGAACTGGACATTGAAGAAAACCCAGATTCAGACTTTGATGACAATGGTTCCCTTCTAGGATTCAAGCATGGCTCAGGACAAAAGTAATTAATTATACATAAATGCTGTTGTCTTTAAACCTTACTTTAAGCTTTTGCTATCCTAAAGCTCTCTATCTGATATCTATCTGATATTCAGATAGCTAATAACAATTAGATATTTTATAGCATTTGAGATATTACAATTAAAACACTAACCTCTCTTGTTACTAAGAATTTTGAATATATCACCCTACATTTGATGTATTCACATATATTAACTCAGTTGTGCTTCATAGCAATCCAGTGTTGCTATTCCAATTTCAGAGATAAAGCAGCCGCAGCTCACAGAGGTTTTTACTTGGTCACGATCACATCATTTCCTGGAGAAGGGGTTCAAGCTCAGTTCTCGAGAATTTTAAACATGGTTCTCTCCTCACCTAGGGTCTAACATACCTCTGTATATCTAAAGTATATCATGAACAAGCCTGAAAAGTTCAAATATAAAGTAACCTTTTTTCTTTTTTATTATGAAAGTAGTAAAACTCAAACAAAACAGAAGTAACAAAGAGTGAAAATTCTTCAAATCATTCTCCAGAGATAGGCATATATCCTTCCTAACTTATTCATGTGTGTTTTTATGATTGTATACATATACATACATCTTATTCCCTTTTTATAAAAATACAAAAATGGAATCATACTGTACATAGTCTGCAGCTTGTTTTTTTCCCTCAACAGTATACCATGAACGCCATGCCTTATCAGTACATTTACCTGATCCTTTTAGCGGAGCCGTATGTTTAATTGACCATTTCGTATGTACAGCTAGATTGATTGCTTCCTAAGACCTAAGAATATGCCTTTGAGGTACCCCAGGTTATTGCATGTACCAATAGCTCTTCCTTCTTATTGCTAAATAGTATTCCATTGTATGGGTGTACCTTAATTTCTCCAATCATTTACCTATCAAAGGACATTTGGACTATGTGTGGTATTTTGCTATTACAGATAAAGCTGCTATGAACTTTTCTGTAGAGATAGTATTAGAGTTCTCTGGGATTAAGTGCCCAAACATTAAATATAAGGAAACGGAAGAGCTTATGCATATGACATGAAGACAAGACTAAACTGCGTACTTAAGGCACACTGAAGACCTATTATTATGTCAGCTTGCACCTTGATTTAAATCAAGGTTAAGGTCTTTGATATTTCTAGGCGTTGAGACATGTTTTGTTAGTTGTGAAACTTTAATGGATATCTATACATTATGAGGTCAGCAAGCAAAGGACATAAGTTGATCTAATTTGAATCCAAGTTAGTTCAGAAATACATGCTCATAATTAAGGCTAAATATCTTAAAGATTAGTAATATAAAAGGTTTTCTTGATATTGCCACATTTAAATTCCTGGCAGAATTTATTTCTACCCACATGTAATTTTACTGAGAAATTACTTAAGTAGCTCTTGTTAGAATACACTCATAGAGATTGGTTGTGTTACCTGGTATTTAACTTAACTATTCTCCCCCTATTTAGAGTACCCAGTTCTACTTAAAAGGGTAGGATAAGATACCCTTTATGAACAGGTTTTTAATATGGCTAGAAGATATCACCTGACATTTAAAACCAAACTGTTTAAGAGTTTATAAGTGCTAAATTGTATGTTACACTCTAAATGTCTAATAGTCTGTAGGAGAGGCAGTTAAAGAAAGCTTCATAGCAGATATATATCTTTTGGGACTGAAAAAGTGTAGATGGTTAGATTCAAAGACATACTCTAATTACTTTGATAATAGAGGTTTTCTTTTTTGGTGAGTTCAGATTGATTTAGGTAACGAATTTAGTGACCACTTTTGAAATAATACGAACATATCCAGATATGTGTAAGGAGCAAGGAGCTTTGGCATCGCATCATCATGAGGAAAAATTATAATTCTCCAACTGCAGTAGGGTTAGATTTTCCTGATGTTTCTTTATTACATGTTTACTATGTCATTTCTACGTTCTGCTGTATATAAGGTATGTTGATATTCCCAACTTGGGTGTTTCGCATTTACTTGAGAATTAACGTACAGGCTAGACCTTACACTTCTGGATTTTGAACTATTCGATAATTTTCATAATTTAGAAAAATGAAAGTAAAATAACAGCTTCGAATAGAAAAATACTGAAAATCATTAGTTTTATTTTCTTTTTATATAAGGAAACAAACTCAGAACTTAAGATTTAAGTCAACTTCTTTTGATTTGGTCACAGATATGGTGGAATTTCAAATTTCAGTCATAGGCAGGTCGGGTATCTACAGAAGAATGTCAAGTATAAGTCAAAGTTCTTGGACATGAGAAGACAAATAAATATGAAAAACAAACACATTTTCTTTACTGAAGAGTCAGAAAAAACATGTTTCAAGAAAAGCAAAGCTTTGAGTAAGGTATGTATAAATTTTGTTTCAATTTACAGGTAGAATTTCATTTTGTGAGCTTGACACCTTAAAATTATTGTTTTCAAATGAGAACCCTGTTTCTACCAGATATAAGGATACCTACAATTCTTTTCCACTTGATTCACAAAGGAAGCTTGTGTGAACTAAATTTGAAAACGATTTAAGTTGGGAGTAGTATGAAAAGAGGATGTTAGAAACTACAAAGTAGCAGTGTCTGGGCAGACACATAGCTAAATTACCTTGTGTGTGAAGTAACGGACAATGGAAATTTCTCATCTGTGTTAGGCTAAACAAGATCCTGGAATTCCAATGTCCAAAACAGCTTTTATTGTAGTCCTTAATTTTGAGGTTATCTAAAGGTGATCAGTTCTTCTTTGCACTAACAAGTTCATCCTGTTGACACAGACTCAAGGCTAGTTTAGTGATTCACACTGTTAACGAAAATATTCATATCCCCACTTCTGGACTTTGCTGTACCTGTCCTTCAACTACCTGGGAAACAGGAGGAATTAAAATTGCTTTTGCTTGGTTCGTTGAGTGATCCTTCTCTCTTATAGAAAAGAGCACCTTCTACTGAGCAGAACTTTTGTATCAGTCACATCTCCAGCAGCTCTTTTAAGTCAACAGAACAAAATCCAGACTCCATGATGACTTTGTTTTTCCCCTTGTGTACAGTATCCTAACTTGACTCTTCTTCCAAAATATGCTACACATTTATAGCTGGTTTTATTTTTATTATATTTCAGATCGTTTGGTCCTAGTGATATTTTAATATTTTATTGGCCCTAGTTGTATCTGGAACAGATTTCCCAGTATCAGTTCAGTCATCCTATAGGACTTTATATAATGTGCTGGATGTGATAGCATTCACGTTGCTTATGTGTCCTTAGATATCCGATTGATGTACAGTCACAGTCCCCTTAAAAGATTCTTGGTGGTTGCCCATCTCTGTCTACCACTCGAATTCTAACTTCCTAACTCTTCAGAAGGTCATGAAGACCTGTTACAAAGTCAGAGAAAGACAAATGCCATCTGGTTTCACTTACATGTAGAAGGTAAAGAAAAAAATGAACAAACAGAAACAAACTCATAGATACAAACTCATAGATAAATTGATGGCTGCCAGATGGGACAGGGATTGGGGGAGTGAAAAAGGGAAGTGATTAAGAAGTACAAATCTATAGTTACTTCTAGTTGTCATGGGGATATAAAGTATAGCGTGAGGAATATATTTAGTGATATTGTAATAACTGTATGGTGTCAGATGGGTACTAGATTTGTTGGGGTGATCACTTTGTAAGTTATATAAATGTCTAATCACTATGTTATACGTCTGAAACTAAAATAATATGTATGCCAACTGAATTTGAAAAAAATTTTATTTAAAAAAATTTTTTTATAGAAGATTGCAAGGAAATATATATCATCTGACCCTGAGTCTTGTTAACATTTCATAGAAGAAACCTAGTTTTTAGTAATCATTTTACTGGCTCTACTGCTTCATTAAAAGGCAGCTCACATTTTTTCCAAGATAGCCTTTATTCTTATGGACACGTTGGCAATTCTCTTTAGAGTTCATCTTTGGTGCTGAGTACTATTTAACATAAATTATAATCTGGGCATTGCACAAAGCTCTGTATAATTGGGAAAGCTAAAATTAATGACTGAACAATAGGTAGATTTGTAATGGTAATGTCACATAATACAGTTATATTGTTAGAAGCCTTCATGGAAAGCTACCAGAAAAGTTTAGCTTTATCCTCTTAGTGTTAGTTGATAAAAGGGAGGTCATAGTCTTGTGTTTAATCTGATATTTTCTTCCTTTTAAAGAAATCTTTAATAAGGTCATGGGGTGTCCAGGTAATAAAGTACAATTAGTTTGGAATTACTTACATTAGCTTGTATGATACAGTGTACATATTTGAGCTAATAATTGTGACACAGCTTGTCAGTCAGGTCACAAATGGTAAAGCAGGTGGGAATGTTCTGTGTATTTGAAATTGATCCATGCTTGTAACATCTTTTAATTTCAGGTAGAAAAATTCCTAAAATGGGTTAACGAACCAGTGGATGAGGAAGCTTCACAGGAGTCAGCTTCTCATAACAACATACAAGACACTTGCACAAGCAGTGATTCAGAGGAACAAGAAACGTCTGTTACGAAAGACGATGACCCATTGGTGACGAGCATTCCAGAACCTAAAAAGTGTTACACCGTAGCATCATCTGGTGAACTTGAAACAGAAAAAAATGGAGACAGCATAGTAGCAGCTGTTACAGATAAGGAGAATTGTGCTGCTCAGGATAAGCCAGACTCTCTTCAGGTAGAAACTGAGGGTAAGACTAACTGCGTCAGCTTGCTAATGGATTTAGATAAATGCCTTTTTTAGAATATGTTTTTCCATTTTTCACTTTGTAGTCTTCCATACCTAAGAATTTACTGTTATCTATTTTTAAGTTGAGAGAAGGCATATTAACTGTGACTGTGCTAATGGCTATGATTTGGCATCCGGAGCATATTGATAATGGCTGAGCGAGCATGATAAAATCAAAGGTAAAGCATATGGCAAAACTGTTCAAGTACCTTTGTCTATACCATTAAAATTGGTCTCTGCCACCTCACTCTGTTCCATGGGCCAACAGTGGCCAGTCCATTTTATCCCTATTGAAATTTAGTATGTCCTTAGTTTTGTTTCAATCGTTCTTTTTTAAATTTTTTTGGTTTTTTGTAGTGGTTGTGGGTAGTGGTAATTTGTGTTTTGGGTGGGACATTGACATAAAGAAGTATTTATAGTAGTTAGCTATAATGAGTGGAGAATAGAGTAACATTTTCACTTTATGCCCTTTTGTACTATTTGAATTTATTTTACAGCAAATTTTCTTTTATAATTTAAAAATAATATTCAATGGAACATTGAAGCTTTTATAAGGTAGAAAATTTTATTTGAAATAGTATTCATTTTTATTGATGATTTATTTCAGACCTGCCCTAATGGAACAATTATATTATTTGTGATGATTTCTTAAGTTAGTGTTGAGGAAAATACCTTTTTTCTTTGTGCATATGAATATGTAGACCTGTGATATCTATGTCATGTACTTCTTTGCCTTTCTAAACAGCATATATATGGTAGTTAAATTTTTCATTGTGCAACAATTTTTTATTGTACAGTTTTTTTATGTACAACTAATGTTCACATGACACTTGCAGATTTCTGAAATGCTTTCACGTGCCTTTTTCACATTTAACCTGTAAAATAGCCTAACGAGGTAGGTGGAATTAGCTCCATGCTGTAAATATAGAGATTAAATCTCAAAGAAATTAAGGGGTTTGCCTGAGGTCACAAAGCCAGAAAGTGACTTGGCTAGGACACAGTACCAGATTGTTTGATTCCTAAATTCCAGTCTTCCACCTTTGTTACAGTGTTTGTAGTTCTCACCTGGGGTAATAACACCATCTCAGAGACATTCGAAAGATGTTAGTTGTCAGGATGACCTGAGGAATTCTGGCATTTAGTACTTTGGATTACTTAACATTAAGTTGTGTACAGGATGGTCTTACACAGTTAGGGTTGTTCACACAGAACATCAGTGTCCCCTCTTCTGAAAAACTCTCATTGCATTTTGCTATTGAAGACACCTATAACTCTTTGCAGTAATCAGATGACCATATTAAGACATGGTCCTATCCTTGAGGATCATTTAAATGCAATAGAGTTTTATTTGTCATCATCACTTTTTGTCATTATTTAGCTATGACAGCACTCTCATCTTCTAATCTGCTTGAAACTGAAACTAAATAACCAAATAACCAAACTAATAAAAATCATTTGTCTAAGAAAAAGTCAGTCTCTGAATGACATCCTTTTCTATTAAATGGAGCTAGTGACCCCTGTTTCAATTTCTCAGAGGCCCTGTAACTTCTAGGTCATGGCTGGTTCAGAGAATTAATATAATTAATATAGAGTTAGAACTTAATTGGTCCTTGGAAAATTTTATTGTAAAAAAGAGAAGGGAAATGTTTGGATTTCTATAGTTCACCAACTATGACAGTGTCTTAAGAACTTTTATAAATGTACCTCCACAGATCTCCTAGCAATCCTATGCAGTAGGTAAGTAAAATATATGCATTCATTCATTCCTTTCGAGAAATCGAAAATTGGAGCTTAGATAGCCTCGGTTACTTTTCCAAGCCCAGGGAGCCAATAAGTAGCAAACTAGAGGCTGTAATCTGAAGTCAGTGCTATTTCCATTATGCCCTCCTCCTCCTCTAGGTGTGTCATTGCACACATGTTCTGGTGCCCAGTCCCAAATCGTAATTATTTGATGTGGCAACACTTTAGATAAATTCACCTGTGTTGTCCTTTTTTCATAGTGAACATCTGTATATTCTTTTATTGTAGCTGAAATTAAAAAGAAGAAGAAGAAGAAGAAGAGGGACAAAAAGGTAGTTGGTCTGCCTCCTGAGATAGCTGCTGTTCCTAAGCTGGCAAAATACTGGGCCCAGAGATACAGGCTCTTCTCTCGTTTTGATGATGGGATTAAATTGGACAGAGGTAAAGTATATATGTAATTTTTAACTTTATTTTGAAATAAGTTCAAACTTATGGAAAAGGTGCAACAGTAGTAGAAAAATTTCATATCCCCTTTACCTAGATTCAGATATTCTTTAACATTTTTGCCACATTTGCTTTATCATTCTCTGTGTGTATATGTGTGTTTCTGATCCAGTTACCAACTAATATCTACCCCTTAATACTTCTGTGTGTATTTTCTAAGAGCAAGGATACTTTTATGTAACAGTGGTAAAATTATAAATTTAACATTGTTACAATATTATAATCTACAGTCCCTACTCTGGTTTTATCAGTCATGACATGTTCCTCACCATGGCATTTGTTTTTCTTCTAGCATAAGATCATGTATTGCATTTAGTTTTCATGTTTCTTTAGTTCCCTTTAATCTGGAATTCTTCCTCAGCCTTTATTGTTGTTCATGACTCTGACATTTTCCAAAGAGTAACAGCCACTTGTTTTCTACAGTGTCTCAGTTAGGGTCTACATGTGTTTTTAAAATTTCAGACTCGGGTTTAATCTGTATTTAGAGCATCTTAGGATAGATAGCAAAAGGAATGGATAGTTTTTTGTTTTGTTTTTTTAGGAACTCATAGATGATTAAAAGACATTTGATAAAGAAACACTAATGCAGAAAGACATAATTTAATGAATTAATACTAGAAACTGAATTCTTTCTCAAGTTTTCCTGCTGTGCTTGAACAGCTTACTTAAGTCAGTTCTGCAAATTGATGCTTATTTTCATATTAGGGCTACTTAAATTATATGTTTATTAACTGTCAAAATCAGGAGGTCTTGATCACTGGTCAATGTCAGGGTCTGTGAACCTCTTATAATTATTTACAAAATGTTATATATTGAGAAAAGTGCCAACAAATTTGTTAGGAGAAATAAGACTGAGTACAAAAGTTTTTAATTCTGTAAAAGAACTTTATATTTTTATTCTTCGAGCAATGAGAAGTCATTTAATGTTTTGGTAAAGAAAAGAAACAGGAAAATTGGTACACCATTTTGTTCAGAGAAATATCTTTCTGGAAAAAAGTAAATTTCTTCTATTGGGAAAGAAGGAGGGCAGTACCTGCTTTTCCTACAGTTTTGCAGCCTTTTGCTATCAGTTCCTTGCTTTCCTAACCCTTTAGAAATGTTTGAATTTTTGCAAAGTGTCTAGTACAAATCTGATTCATCGCATCCCCATTAGGAATGACATAATTGGGAAACTCAGTGGAGTTTGGAGAATTGGCCAAGTAGAATAGCTAACTTTCCATTTTCCGTAGTGGATAATAGTTAATACTTCAAACATAAAAATCATAATTGCATTCAGTTATTGAAGATATACTACAGAAGAACCAAGCCAGAATTGAGGTGGTTACTTCCTTGGAAACTGGGAATGGGAATGGTACTACTTTTTCTTACGTGCTTTGTAGAACTTTTCTTTAAAACTAGGTTATTTGTAATTTTTTGAGAAGAGAAATTAAGTTTTTTAAGTGTATATCATATAGCAATATTTGCTATGTTTATGCTTGGCTTGGCTTCTTGAAATTGAACATCGTAATAGAAATACTCTTCTTTTGCAGAGGGCTGGTTTTCAGTTACACCTGAGAAAATCGCCGAACACATAGCTGGCCGGGTCAGTGAATCCTTCAAGTGTGACATTGTAGTAGACGCATTTTGTGGAGTCGGAGGAAATTGCATTCAGTTTGCCTTAACTGGAAAGAGAGGTAATTAGCCATCAATGGAAGAAAAGTAATTTATTTTCAGTTTATTCAGTAAATGTTCCATTTTGTTTCAGCTTATCTTTGCTGAAATTTAATATGTAATTAATAATTTAATGCAAATATTTAAAATAATAGCTAGCATATATTAAGCATATACTTTGTATCATTACAGGTATAAGTACTTAATATGTATTAATTTATTTAGTCAGCAGTCTTGTGAAATGTATCTTTTACTATCAGCATTTCACAGATAAACTAAGAAATAAAGAGATGAAGTAACTTGCCTAAGATTACACAGACCCTGCTTAAGGGAGCCATGATTACAATATTATATAAAACTAAAAGTATTAAAATGGGAAACTATTCCTTAGAAGGAAACAGGAGTAAATTGGGAGTCCCAGCCTTGCAGCCATCTTCATGACGTTGGATATCGTTTAACCTTAATTTAAAGGAGACTTTAACTTGAGACACTAAAAATCTTTTACATATTAGATCATCCTTGTGGTAGCTTGACTTTGGAATCAACAAAGAAGAAAACCTCTTACTGTATATCTGCCAGGAACTGTGTCAAGTAGGTAGTGCGTGTGCCGTTTCTCAGGGAAAAGAAGGCTTTAGGAAATGGAACAGTCGGCCCAAACTGACATAGCCGAGTCGTGAACCCAGGGCTTTTATTTTACTCAGTGTCTTCTGAATCTGATATCCCTGTTCTTTCTCCATTCTTTTTGAAGTATAGTATAGTGTGATATGTTAGAGACGTCACTTGTTAAGTCGCACTCCGAAGACACCTTTTTTCCCCCAATTTTTATATTCTGTGTTTAGCTTACATTTCAGTAAATTTCATTTGAGTCTCATTAACTTATATGAAGTTTTTTATGTTAAATAGGAAAGCATATGATTCTGAAAAGGATAACATAAGAGCTAAAAAATGATAAAGTGAAACAACATTTATGCTAAGACCAGTGCTGATGCACTGTGGCCCTTATTTAATCCTTCCCGTGCTCCAGAACATGAGATTTGCTGACTTTATATGGCCTCCTAAAAGCCTGGATGAAAGATGTTTTCATATTTTCTGGAAGAGTAATTATTTTCTTGTCTTCCCTGAATTCACTATTTACCATTATTTCCACTAGACTTATTTCTACTCAGTTGCCATCTACACATACACCCAACTTAATGATTAGAGAATCTACAAAGCTTTGCATTTTGCTGCTGTTAAAGATTTTTTTCCTCTTTTGTATTCCAATAGTTCTTTATCAGTGCTACTCAGTAGTTTTCTGTGATGACAGTAATGTTCTGTATCCGCACTGTCAGTCGGGTAGCCACTGTCTACAAATGGCTGTTGAGCATTTGAAATGTGGCAGTGTGACCAAGGATCTAAATTCTTAATGTCATTTAATTTTAATCAATTTAAAGGTAATAGCTACATGTGGCCAGTGACTACCATTTTTGGACAGTGCAGTTCCATATAGTATCATCCAGCATTTGTCAGCATTTCATTTATCTGATAACATCGAATGCTTACATTCGGTCAAGCCTAAAAACAAAGTCTGCCTCTAAGGGAAGTGTATGTGAATACATGAGGATTAACTAAATATATTTTGATATTGAAAGTCATTTTTTCCAGTGAATTTTTGGTATTGTCAGCATGTCTTTCCATCTGTCTCTGTACTATAAATGTAGCAGATTGAACAACTGAAAAGGACATTTTCATCTTTTCTCTTTTAAATATGAATGTTAGTTTATTTAGAACAGAAAAAATAGCATTGTAAATGCATGATTTTGCAACATGTAATTGGTGCTTGTATTCATTGTTCAAGCAATTTATTTCATGCATTATTTCTCAAAAGTGTTAACAAATTTTGAGCCAGCATTTTCTGGGAAACAGCTATGTTTCCTTGACATCTATGGTGTATGTATCAGAGTTTCAGATATAAAATATTGCCACTAACACACTTGCACACATACAGGTGCACTTACCACAAGACATGACTGAGCTAAATTTAACTTAGGTTCGCATTGCTAATTATGAAATTTCAATAAATTAAATGAGTCCCATTTGGTGAAAACATAACATTGTCTCTTCCATCCACCTAATATGTCTCATTAAACATCATCAGCAGATGTTTTTACATTTCATAAGTTGGCTATATTAGTTTGTCAAATTTGTTTTATTTTGCTTTTCTGTAGAAGTTGTCAAATTTGTCTTCCTTTGGAGGTTGCCTCATTTTGAGGAAATTGGTCTCTTCCAAAATCTTAGTGTTTATAGGCTTTACTGGCAATCTTGGACCTTTCAAGTTTGCTGCTCCTGCTGCGCACTGCACAGAGCACAGTGCTGACCACCTACTCGGCTTTAGGTAGATGTGTGGCAGCCATTCCCGCTGTTTGCTTTGGTAAAGTGTCTGAGCGAAAGAACCCTGAAAGCCAGATCCTTTGGTCACATTTCCTTGGTACAACGTAAGTGAATCTTTGTAATATAGATTAAAAATTCTACTTAAATTCTCTATCTTTGGTATATGAGGCCAAATCTCACTTTGTCTTTCGAAAAGATTCTTGTACAGAAAATAGACCGATCAGAAGATGAACTGTTGTTCTATATAACTACTAATCAGTATCATTTGACTCATCTTTCCTGTTCTCATTTTTAGTGATTGCCATTGATATTGATCCTGTTAAGATTGATCTTGCTCGGAACAATGCAGAAGTTTATGGGATAGCAGACAAGATAGAGTTCATCTGTGGAGATTTCCTGCTGCTGGCTCCTGATTTAAAGGCCGACGTCGTGTTCCTCAGCCCCCCATGGGGAGGGCCAGACTACGCTACCGCAGACATCTTTGACATTAGGACAATGATGTCTCCTGATGGATATCCTTTGGAAGTCCTAAAAGTTTGCACAAACAGTGGTTGTAGAGAAGAAGGGGGGGTGTGTGCGCACGCGCGCGCGTGTGTGTGTGTGTGTTTGAGAGAGAAAAATTAGTGAAGAGAGGAGCTAATAGCACTTAATAGATTCTGGTATGTTTTACATAAAAAGTGGGCATGTAAAAATTAACTGGCGATGGATCTCCAAAAGTTACAGCAAATGCGGAGTCAGATTTCATTTGGTTACTGTCCAGTTTTACCATTTATTACAAGAACTAGAAAGCATTAATTGTTTGAAATTACTGTCTGGAAATTGGGAATTTCTTCAAGAAATTCTGTCCCTAGAGTCTGGGCAACTATCTCTTAACTATTCTTCAACTGACACTGACTTATGCTAATTCTCGATGTGTCTTCAAAATTTTCCTGTTACTCTTCCAGGATACTGAAGCAAGCTCTTATTTCATAAAGAATAGCATTTATGTTATTTGTCTCTTTCTTTATCTCTACTGGAAGAATCATCTGTTTGACTCTAGCAGAAAACATGTTTCTAAATTGCTAATTAAAATTTAGAGTGTAGACTACAATGGAGAGTTATTTGCCTTTATTCTTTACTGGAAAGAAGTGGTACTGTGCTTTCCTGTTATTTCTATTTTCACAATAACTGGGAAAAGGCAGAAAGAGAAAGAGTATTTCTGACTCTTGGTTGCCTACCACTAGGATAAATGAAAAATGGGCTTGTAATCTCATTTATTAGGGACAGTATGCTGCTGAATTACAAAATCCGCAACTTAATTTTCTTAAGTTCTATTAAATGATTTAAATGCATGCCTTATTATTACATGTAAAAATACATTTGGGTTATGATATAATAAGAACTTAATCTCTGATCAGAAATTAACTGCTGTTTTTGTAATTTTTCCTTAACTGCTGTCCACCTTTGAAATTTTCAGACTTTCCCAGAAGATTACTAATAATATTGTTTATTTTCTTCCAAGAAATGCTGATATTGACCAGGTAAGCCATTACTGAAGAACTTCTATGAGCCTCTTGCATAACTGTTAGATATAACGGGCAAAAAAGATCAAGATATTTCTGTAACTGAGAATGTGTTTATGAGAAGTCCCTGGCTTTTTGACTATTACTAGAAAACTGGGAGTGTTTGGCATTTAAATCCATGCCCGTTTCATCCTCTTCCTCTCCAAAATTCCTGGTAAACGTAAACAGAGCACTTTGGGCTTTTAGTTATATGTCCTGAAAGGGTGATTGAATGTGTTTTGTCAAACGCGCACTTAAACTTAGCCAAGATCTGTTTTTACTGACCTACCTTGAGAATAGAGGTGTTAGGTATTCCTGAAAATAGTAGCCTAAATAGAAATGTACAGACAGATAAAAACCTTAATTTGGCCAGGATCAGTTTCAACTGATATATAGTCTTGGGATATATAGTCTTGACTAACATTAAAATGTCCTTATTCCTTTCTTACCATAAACATTTATTTTAATTGTTATTTTTTTCCTCAATAGAATTGGATCTAATATAATAACTGCCCCATACAGATTTGATAATGTCTTTATTTCAGTCTTTCTTTGATTTTTTTTAATAAACACTTATTATATACTGCTTTGTGCTAAGCATTCTGTTGAAAAATTTTTTGTATTTCATATTCTAAATTTTACTACAATGTTGCTAGGTTTGGAGTTTTCCTCTCCTATTTGATACTCTGAGAACTGAACCTATTATTTCTGAGCTTTTTCATCTTATTCTGGAGAAATTATCTCCATTATTTGTTCACCTATGTTCTCCTTACCATCTTTTTTTCTGGAGCATTTATTGCATGGATGTTAGTCTTCCATAACTATTTTCTGGTATTTTGTCTACTTTTTCTTTCTGCAAGATTACCCCAGTCTAGTCGTCTAGCTAGTTCATTCTTTGGGTATAGACATTCTATTATCCCATCTGTTGTGTTTTTTTAGTTCAACTATTCTTTATACTTAGTATTTCTGCATATTTTTGCTTTCTTTTGCATTCTAATATTATAAGAAGTTTAAGTTCTTAATCCATTTTATCCTTTCTGCTTTTGGTACAATTTATAATCCACTTTCTTTTTCTTCGATGGAGTATTTGTAATTCTCAAATGTCTTGTGTTACTGGCTACTTGCTATTGTCAAGTAATGCAAAAGGATAAAGGACGTGTCAGAATCCAGTGAGTGTCAAACTGGCTGCACTTTAGAACCACTGGGGATAATTGTAAAAAACTGTGACTATTACAAGCCCCAGCTCAGAAATTGATCCAACCAGTTTTTTTTTAAGATCTCTGGGTCATCGTAATGTGTAGCCTGCTGGGTTGAGAACCAGTCAAAGCCTGTTGTCAGCCTCAATGATAACTTCAGGGGATGAAGTTATCAGGCACCATAAAACTGCATTTATCACAAAACACCGTCTCAAGACGTAGCTGCCGCCCTTTGTGGAGGGGCTGGGCAAAAGCAGCATTTAAAGGCTGTACTGTTTAATCTTAGAGTGTAATTCTTTGGCTCTAGGGCTTTGGAGAGGAAAGAGAGAGAAAGCAGCCGTCAGGGTTCGTTCCTATCTGTTTCTCTCAGCTTCACAGCAGAACTTTTTTTTTTAACTGCCCTAACTTTAACGCCTGAACACAGAGCAGAGTTCTCAGTATCTGCAGCTGAGGCTGCACACACTGGTCAGACAAGGCAACAGCAGTGGATTGGAAGGAGCAAGAGCAGAATTTCAAATTTCTTGTTTTCCTTCTTCCTGTTTTATCTTCTCAGAGGCACCACCCTCCATCCTGCATACACACACACACACACACACACTTAAACCATCCCAGGTCTCTCCATAATTTCTTTTTTTTTTTTGCAGGGGGGTGTTCCATCTAGTGTCTCCAAAGCTATCTTGCAGGCGTCAGCAGTCATGCTAGTTCAGCATCTTCCTAGGGATCACAAGATAGGTGCATAAGTAATAATAATGGTGATGCAACCTTCTCAAAAGAAAGGATTAAAGGCTCTGGCTTTCGGGTGGATGATATAGTGTATAAACTGGACTTTAAAGATTTCGTTGTAGGCGTTGAGGTGGAGGTGACAAAGAATATCAGTGACATGGAACTAGAGTTTTGTGGGTAACGTTCAGGCAATAGGCTAGAAAAAAGATACTAAAAAAAAAGAAAGATATTAAACTCCAGACAGACTGGAGTTTAGTCTCAGCCCTGCCACTTTTTAGCTTTCTAGTGGCGGTTTTGAGGAATAAATGCAATAAGTGGGTAAAGCATTTATCACAGTACCTCTAGCCCATAAATCTTCAATAAAGTCGTGGCGTCTGTTATTTAGAAGATCCTGTTATATTATACAGTTATTGTGGAAAGAATGTAAATGTTACTAAGAATTTGAAGATCGATATGGAAAGATGACATGTTTTCTCTAAAGAACGGAGACAGCTTTAACATTTGTGAAATGAGAGAATTTAATTTATAAACATAATCCCAGATTATAGATTTTCTCTTCCTCTTACCAGAAACTAGATATACTTGCTTGTCCAGACATATTCTCATTTTAATATGGAACTCTGTGGCTGCAAATTAGAATCACTTGAGTGGTTTTGTTTTTTAATTATGGTAAAATGTATGTAAGAGAATTCACCATAAATCTTTTTTTAAGTATACAATTCAGTGGCGTTAAATACTTTTACATTGTTGTACAATCATCACTACCGTCTCTGAACTTTTTCTTCCCAAATTGAAACTCTGTACCCATTAAATACTAACTCCCCATTACCCACCTCACAACCTGCCCTTAGCAACCACCATTCTACTTTCTGTTTCTATAAAAATTTGATTCTAGTTACTTCATATAAGTGGAATCATACAATATTTGTCTTTTTGTGACTAGCTTATTTCACTTAGCATAATCTCCTGAAGTTTCATTCATGTTATATCATATATCAGAATTTCCTTTTTAAGGCTGAATAATATCCCACTGCATGTATATACCACATCTTGTTTATATATTCATTCATCAGTGGACATTTTTGGTTGTTTCTACCTTTGTGCTATTAATAATGTTGCTGTAAATATGGCAAATAATCTGTTTGAGTCCCTGCTTTTAGCTCTTTGAGGTATATATTCAGAAGTAGAATTGCTGGATCACATGAAAATTCTATGTTTAGATTTTTGAGGACTCACCATACTGTTCTCCATAGCAGCTGAACCATTTTACATTCCCACCAGCAACTCACAAAGGTTCCAGTTTCTCCACTTTCACACTAACATTTGTTATTTTCTGGTGATGGTGGTTTGATAATAGCCATCCTAATGATATGAAACAGTGCCTCACTATGATTCTAATTTGCATTTCCCTAATGACTAGTGATGTTGACCATCTTTTCACATGCATAATTCTAGATATTAATTCCTTATGAGATACATGCTTCGCCAGTATTTTCTGCCATTCCATGGGTTGTTTTTTTGTTCTTTCAGTAGTGTTCTTTGCTGCACAAATGTTTTTAATTTCGATGAAGTTCAACTTACCTACTTTTTCAGTGTATTACCTATGCTTTTGATGTCATACCCAAGAAGTCATTGGCACATTCAGTATCATTTTCCCCTATGTTTTCTTCAAAGTGTTTTATAGTTTTAGTTCAGTAGCTTTTTAAAACTACTGATACCCTAGTCCACTGGGAAAGATTCTGATTTATTTTCTGGGATGAGGCCCAAGGATAAAATTTTTTTAAAACTCCCCAAGTGATTGTAATGTGCCTCCAGAGTTGAGGTTCTCTGGGTTAAAAGAAGAGTAAATAAAAATTAACAAGCCTGAGCTCTTACTCTGTGATTTGGAAGGAGATGAAATTAGATCTGCTGCCTGTCATCTGTTTATGAGCCATTGTGTCTAAACATTCAGCCTCCCAAATACGATACACTGTATCAGTTAAAAGGAAACTCACTCTCCCCTTCATCCATTTTTATAACAAATTTGATGTTAAACCTAATACTGCTACTCTTATCTGTGACTCAGATCTGCATTTTAGACTCCCATGTAAGGTCGAGCCTATTTATTCCATAATTCTTATTTTTCTCGTATGTAAATAGCTTCATAACTAGTCTTATAAGAGGCTCTACAATCCTTATATTAAATATGAGATGGGCTTATATGGGTACTTGAATGATAATAGGAAATTCACTATTTATTGAGAAAGTTACAGTGAATAAAATTTTTCTAGTTAAAGTAACACTGGCCCAAGGAGAAAGTTAACTTTTTTTTCTTTATCTTGTGCTTTTGATTTACTTCAAATACCTGCCAGAATTAAAGTTGGCAGTTCATTCACATATTCTGCCTCTAGGGGGAGTGATGACACTAGAGAATAATAAAGTCAAAAAGGAAACTTGAGATTTCAAGTGCATTATATTGGTTGGTATTGAATTTGGATCAGATTACAGTAAGAAATCAACTTGTCCTTTTAAAATTTCAACCATTGAAATGTATAAGATTTTTTAAATGAGAGAAGAGACAGTACTTCAGGATTGAAAGAGAGTTACAGAGAAGTCTACTTTCGTTAAGAAATATTTAGAATTTCACAACAACCTGAGCTTATAAATAGGTTGGGTTCCCAAAGTGTATGAGCCTCCTATTTAAAATTCAAGCTTTATTTTTCTCATAGAAATGTCTATAAAGAACATTAATTTCCCATCCAAGGAAATTTATACTCTGAATGATGTTTATATTTAGGGTAGTTACACTGAGAATGGGCATTATATTATAATTTGTCTGTCAGTCTTTCCTTATAGGAGATGAGTTTAATTATCTCTCTAGCTAGTAAAATATTTTTCTATGTCCCCTATTACCTCAGTCTCTTAGTCCCTTTTTCTGTTTGGGGGTATTCCACAACATGTATTTTTTTTTTTTATTCAAACTTTCACTATAATAATTTAGAATAATTTAGAAAATCTTTTTGTTGTTGGCTCTTTGGAGGGAAGTTACACCTCACTCTCTGAAATCACTACAGAAACTTG